AATCGGTCTCTCCTTCCACCTTTACTTGAGGTCCAGGGATCGAATCCAGTCTCTTACTGTATGACAGACCCTTTACCCATGAAGCCATCTGGCTAGCTGGTGATATATATTGTTAATTAGCTTTAGCTTTTTTGTGAATAGGAAAATTAAAAATGGAATAAAGCAGCTAATTTTAATCTGAAACTGCCTTGAGGCTTCCCAGTGGCGCTGCCAGGCCGGGGTCCTGTGATCTAGGCTGTGCTCTGGAGCGCGGTCACTTTCCTCGGGCAGCAGGGGGAGGTCAGGTCGTTGGCCTCACCTGCCGTGAGGTGATGACTGGTTCTCCCTTTGCTCACTTGTCTCTGTTCTCTTCCCATGCCAGTCCTTCCTCCAGTGCTGGTGCCCAGGCACAGCGAGTATAACCCCCAGCACAGCCTTCTGGCGCAGTTCCGCAACCTGGGACAGAACGAGCCTCACATGCCGCTCAATGCCACGTTTCCGGATTCCTTCCAGCAGCCCAGCAGCCACCCATTTCCCCACTCGCCCAACAGCAGCTACCCCAACTCTCCGGGCAGCAGCAGCAGCACCTACCCTCACTCCCCGACCAGCTCGGACCCAGGCAGCCCTTTCCAGATGCCAGGTAGGAGGGGGCATTCTGGGACCCCGCCTTGGGGAGGTGGGTGGGCGTGACCTGCGGAGGGGACGGAGGTTGAGCCCTGGACAAGCCCCTATGAGCCAGTGCTTCAGAATAATAGCGTATCGAGGGGAGTCATAGAGCCGGAGAAGAGGATGGCCTGTTTGATTTCTGCTATATTTTCCCCTTGTTTTCAAAAGTTTTGAAACAGCTGCATCCTTCTGGGAGTGGCATGGTTGTCCCAGTCTCTGAAGGGAAATGTCATGTCACACAGTGCTGTTCTGTGGCTTCGGCCAGCATTTCCGACGTTGAAGATCTTCCTTGCTATCGCTGCAGCCGCAGAAGAGTTCTTTCCCGAGGGATCACACCCCCCATTTAATTAGATGCATTTAGCCGGTGATGTAATCCCAAGAAATGTACTTTTAACAACAAGGAATTGCAACAGAAAGTGCTGGAGACCATCTGCTTGTTGAACTTAGCAAAGACAAGAACCAGTTCTTTTCCTGTCTTAGTCGTAACGGATGGTGTAATAGTTACCAAAATAAGTGATTAATTAGAAGATTATATTTTTCAAATTACAGGTTAGTGAACAAGCATCTCAAATATTGGTGCCAGAGCTCATGCTAGTTGACATCAAGAAGGACATGATAAACAAAACATCGTGAAATCTATGAATGTTTTCGTTAGGGAAAAGACTGGGCGGGCATGTTTACAGAGCCACTTAAAGTGCTCTTAATTAAATTTTACTTCAACATCCATGTTGAACCTTCATAAATTGGAAAGTGATCCATGCTTTATTGCTTCTTCTCCTTTCTTTTTAAACACTTGTTTTTCAGCCGGTTTATTTTGCATTGTTTTTGTGTTTGGGATGAAGATGGGAGATAGATTATTTTAGTAG